TGTGCAAAATGTATATTTTCCAAAAAGATTGATATATTTTTTATTTATATACATTACATAACTATATACTAAATAGAAAAGCTCGTATATTTTTTATGCATAAAGGCCTTTATATTTTGTGTTTGCCAAATTAAATATTTAGCTTTTAATTAATTAATTTACTTCAGTTAATTCAATTATCAGTTAAATTCAGAATTTCTTTATATAGTACAGAGCCCCACACGTCAGCTGAAAAAAAAAAAATATATATATATATATATATATATTGATTTTGTGGACATGAATTAAGAATTTGTTCCCATAACTTATTCATTTGTGACCACATTTTATTAATTTGTTCTCTTGTTTTAGTTCAATTGTGGCCACTAATTACTTACTAATTAGTTCACATGTTTTCATTTTATTTTATTGTGGTCACAATTTAACTAAACCGGAGAAATGATTTGTTAATTCGCTACCATAATATCGTATTTTTTTCAAATACGAGCACTTTTTACAAAAATAGAAACTCCCGAAAAAAAAAGACAATAAGGCATAAACCACTTTATAGAAATTGTATTGTAAAGGAGAAAACCCAGAAAAAATAAGAAATATAAAAATACTATTTCTTAAAAAAAGAAGAAAACAAAAACAGACTGCAAATCAAATTAGCTACTTGTTAACTTTTTAACAACTTGTTGTTGGTTTAAATTTTCTCTTTTAATTTTTTTGTGTTACCCCCAGTACCAATTTCTCTGGACCCCAGTTTGAAAACCCCTGATCTAGATTATCCTGCTGCTTTTAATAAAAAAAAACAATCACCATCCTTCAATGTTCCAGTTTTCTTGCCCTGGTTATTTCAGGTGTTGGACGATATTGGACTCTGGCTGATAATGCACAACCGATGGGGTCTGTGGAGGTAGAGATGAGTGCCTATGTGTTGCTGGCGCTGCTCTCTGGACCCTTGCTGCCTGGATTTGGACTGAACTACGCTGCTGGCATCGTGCACTGGCTAAGCAAGCAGCAGAATGCGTATGGAGGCTTCTCCTCTACACAGGTAATGTTATTTATCTCATTAGACCCTCTAAGTCTTTATAATGCGTTTGATCATTATTGACTCTAAGTGGTGTCGCTCCCTCTCTTTCTGTGAACAGGATACTGTCATAGCACTCCAGGCCCTTGCTAAGTACAGTGCTGCCACCTACAATGCAGAAGGATTCATTAGCGTAACCGTGACCTCCCCCTCAGGCCAGAGGTACCAGTTCACCGTGAACCGGAACAACCGGCTGCTTTACCAGGAGAAACAGCTGCAGGAAGCTACTGGCACATACAAGCTCAGGGCAGAAGGCAAAGGCTGTGTGTTTGTGCAGGTCTGTGCACTGACTCTTATGATGCACATATTGAGTTCAAGGAATAGTTCATCTAGGAATGAAGGTTTTCATCATGTACTCACCCTCATGTCAGTCCAAACTTGTGTGATTCTCTTTCTTCAATGGATCAGAGAAGGAAGTCACAAGGATTTGGAATTACATAAGGATGAGTACTGTATGATGTGTATAAAAGTGATATACAGTGGGTACGGAAAGTATTCAGACCCCCTTAAATTTTTCACTCTTTGTTATATTGCAGCCATTTGCTAAAATCATTTAAGTTAATT